CCGCATGATGTTGCTGAGATTGTTCTGGTTCGTCATGGTGAGACCACATGGAATGCATCTGGAAGAATTCAGGTATATTCAGAAATAATCAATTAATGTATGAATATGTAGAAATCTACAAAAAGAGGAAGAAGTGTCAAGCAACTGTAGTTGAAGTTATCTCTATAGCTAGATTTTCCCATCTCCATCCAACAACTGAAAGGTGTGAAGGTGACTTTGGCTACAGTTAATGTTTGGATAAGCTTTAGGATTAGTTTTGAGACTTAAAAACTGTTTTGGCTTTAGATAGTAAATCATATAACAGAATATACTTCTTGTTTAATTTGGATACTTGGTTTTACCTCACAGGGCCAACTAGAATCAGAGCTGAATGAGGTGGGATGGAAGCAAGCAGTTGCAGTTAAGATCTGAACTTATGCAAACCTATTTCTTTACACCTGGTTCATCTTTGCATTCATTTGTTTGTGATTTTGATTTTTGATTTGTACTTCTACCTGCAGCAAAATTTGCACCTCTGTCTCATGGCATTGCATGTTTAACAGCCAACAGAACTCATTGGCAGTACAAATTTTGCACCTAAAAAACTGATGCAAACCATAAAAAAATAAAAATAAAAATAAAACCCTTCATCTTACCTACATTCTCTTTCACAGGAAGAGGATTAATTTGCAGTCCTGAAAATTTACAATTGCATAAATGAATTCACAATTTAAACAAACTGATCCATCGATTCATCAAAATGTGTGCAATAATTGAATCTAAGCCTGCCCATGATGGGCTGCCATAACCATGAGTGATGCCCAGGCGGGTCCATTCATTAATCATCCAGATCTAATCTGGGGCCAAGATTCAAACTTTAGAGCTGTRATTTATTAGGTACAATAAGAGGGGTACTAATTATTGAACCTAAAGACCCCACCTTAAATCCTTTGAGTGGGGAACAAACATTCAAAAAAAGCTTGGATGCCAATTGGGCTGCAACCATGAATGCAATGCATCTAATTGTTTGTTTGTTTTTTTATTTTCTAATTTTTTACAAAACAAGAGAGAAAAATATTGTGTACTCATTTATCTGTTCTATTATATTGGTTATATAATCAATGTTTTGTAATTATTCTAATAACAATATTGCCATTGTATACAGATTGCAGATAGGCTAGCCAAAGAACTGAAGCCTGTAGCTGTGTACTCATCAGATCTCAAGCGTGCCAAAAACACTGCAGAKATGATTGCAAAGAAATGCCACATTCCTGAGGTACTTTTTTTTTTCTTAGTTTTCTTCCACCTTTATCCGGTCTGATCGATCGGGATTCTCGGGACCACGGCGGTGTAAAACAAGAACACACACAGGACAGAATGGTGAAACRGGATTTATGTAGGCGACCCCATATAGTAGTACGTACCTCAGGCTTGGTTGATTGAAGGATTAATCTGTTAAATTTGGGTGGTGGTTCAGGTGATTGTWGTACCAGAGCTGAAGGAAAGGCATGTGGGGAGTTTACAGGGATTGACTTGGGATGAAAGCCAAGGGAAAGAGCCAGAAGCCTACCGTGCATTTTTCTCACCTCAGGAGGACCTTGAAATCYCTGTATCTTTCATCCATCTTTTCTTTTCTGCATTAAAGAGTAGATTATTAATTACAGGGTTGTTTACTTAAAACAAAATGTACATGAATTGAGATTATTAATTATCATCCTTTTTCACCRTCTTCTTCAACATATGTAGGGTGGGGGAGAGAGCTTTAATCAACTCTGCGAAAGGTCTGTGGCTGCCCTATACGAAATTGCATCCAGACACAAAGGTTCTCTCTCTCTCTCTCTCTCAATAATTTAGTCTAGTGATTTGGCTAAGAAAGTAAATAAGTGATGACATGGGTTGGTGCATCAAAATTCAGCCTTATATATGGCCTAGTGATTGCGACTTCGTACATGTTAAACTGAACACACAGATGGAGGGTGTCTGGTATTGGACACATAATCCACTCCAACCCAATCACATATCAGTACTCTCTATCTTTCATCAAACACATTTTCTTCTGTTCTCAGCTAGAATTGACAACAGATTCAAGGTTGCAAGTAGTACAGATATCCTAATACATAATCTGAACCGTGCTATTATTAACTGATGATTCATCGAAATTAATTATGCATTAACTTGATGAGCACACAGGAGAGAGAGTCATTGTGGTCACTCATGGAGGTAATCTGAGAGCCATCTACATGTCGGTGACTCGTGAGTCTTCAGCAGGAAAGGTGCTGAATGCTTCAGTCAATGTTCTCCATCTCTCAGAGCAGAAATGGGCTTTCAAGTCTTGGAGCGACGTCACTCACCTCAACGAGGTTGGATTCCTTCAACGCGGCTTCA